TATATATGATGGAGACATGACTTATTTTTCTAAGGTCAGCCATATTCTCTTTGAATAGGTAGCTGATTATGCCTTGAAGATAGAACTTTCAATTATTTTTAGCCACTGAACATAAATATTTCTTTTGACACATATGAAATTTTTTTCTTTTCACTATGTCTTAAAGGTGATTGCACTGTCTGTTGTGTTTGGTGTTATAAACTTAACCTCAAATAATATAATGAAAACACTGAATTTTATTTTAACCCATTTTAAATGTACAGAGACTATTAAAAATGCATTAATATATATGTAATACCAGTGGTGGTTGGAAGGGTATCACGTGATACGTCAAATGATGCGCACGCACATCTCTCATTTGAAGTTTTGCTGTCGAAGAGTTAACATCGAAAGTGAGCTCCCGGCGAAGTCTTCCTGCAACGTCGTTCAATAATGTGACACTTATATGGTAATAACGTAAATTTTATATAAATTACTTGTTGCTTTTAAGACTTAATAAAGTGTTATATTGATGCCTTCATTGACTTTTCAGGGGTCAGACTCGATAGAAAAAACTTGGAAATGAACTACATGTGTATGTCACTGTAAAAAAGAAATGTTTTTTGAAATTCTAGTATATGCGCAGGTGAATCGTAATGTTATGTCGTTATTTATCGTTTGGTCGTGTGGTCGACGTCATTTTATTGCCCACTGACGTATACATACTCATCTTACTCTAAATCTTCCGTTCTGCTAATTTTNTGCTTTCTCTACTTTAAAATTATACAATTCATAATACTGAAGCTTTACATTTATCATTGAGGATGCTGTCCCTTCACAAAGCACCAACAGAACACTTGGAAAGTACAAGTCCCATCACATTACACATGATGGCATTACATCTATTAATGGGATGCTTGCTGATGAAGTAAATAAACAGTTTTGTTACACAGGTAAAACATAAGAATCTCATCAATATCTAAGTAAGTAATTCTATGGTCAAATGAGGCACAAACATCATTTTAATTATTCTTTTTACAGGTGTTCCATGCGAGTCTTCATGTAATGTCCAGCATTATATATGATGGAGACATGACTTATTTTTCTAAGGTCAGCCATATTCTCTTTGAAAAGGTAGCTGATAATGCCTTGAAGATAGAACTTTCAATTATTCTTAGCCACTGAACATAAATATTTCTTTTGACACATATGAAATTTTTTTCTTTTCACTGTCTTAAAGGTGATTGCACTGTCTGTTGTGTTTGGTGTTATAAACTTAACCTCAAATAATATAATGAAAACACTGAATTTTATTTTAACCCATTTTAAATGTACAGAGACTATTAAAAATGCATTAATATATACGTAATACCAGTGGTGGTTGGAAGGGTATCACGTGATACGTCAAAAGATGCGCACGCACATCTCTCATTTGACGTTTTGCTGTCGAAGAGTTAACATCGAAAGTGAGCTCCCGGCGAAGTCTTCCTGCAACGTCGTTCAATAATGTGACACTTATATGGTAATAACGTAAATTTTATATAAATTACTTGTTGCTTTTAAGACTTAATAAAGTGTTATATTGATGCCTTCATTGACTTTTCAGGGGTCAGACTCGATAGAAAAAACTTGGAAATGAACTACATGTGTATGTCACTGTAAAAAAGAAATGTTTTTTGAAATTCTAGTATATGCGCAGGTGAATCGTAACGTTATGTCGTTATTCATCGTTTGGTCGACGTCATTTTATTGCCCACTGACGTATACATACTCATCTTACTCTAAATCTTCCGTTCTGCTAATTTTAACAAATTGGGAAAGGTAGGTGTGTTTTGTTTGCTTCATAATAATTCAAAACGAATTAAATTTAACTTCAGAAATATATGTCATAAAAAGAAGGAAAAGGAATATACCCCATAGATACACCAAATATATATTTCATCTCAAAACAGTTTCAATACACCGGTACACCTGCTGCTCAGCAATAGATCAGCCTCACATGTTTTCTATGTATTAATTATTTTCAGACATGTTATGCATTTGTAAAGCAGAAGAAGGAGGTGATGAGGAAATGACTGTTTTAGAAGTTTTTCCAGACAAAATAACACACACTATACCTTGTTTCCCAGGCATTTCTGTTGAATTGCATAGAACCACTGTACAATGTAATGGATCAAGACAGCTTTATTTTCATCCAGTGATATTTTAGGTCTACAATTAAATGTTGAACCTTTTATCATTTTTGTCCGCTACTTTTTCAAAACTAACATTCAGTTATTTGGTCCCTGCCTGGTTGTTTGTGACTGGGAGTCTGATAGTGCACCTTTCATCAAGGATGACAATAAAACCTAAGTAGTGAAGAAGAGGAGGGAGAAGATGAAGATGTTGCTGATGAAAATGTTGAGCACTGTCTACCTTTTAAAGTATTGGGGGTTGCCCATTTTCAGTATAGACAAACTTTATTGAAAAACATACATANACTGTACATAAAATAAATAGTATACATACAAAAGATCACCACGCATTATTATAAAATTAGTCTTAAGCTTTCAGAAAATAAAAGATAAACAAAATGTGACCTTTCCAGTTAACAAAAGCTGGAATGTAAGGTGGCCTTTCGCACTGTAAAAGGTGATAGTTGAACTTTTGAAAACTGAAAGTTAATGAAAATGTGAATGACGGTCTTTCCGAGAAGTAAAAGTTGATAAAAAGATGACCTTTTACAAATGAAAGGTGAAAGATGACCTTTTCGTCAGGAAAGGATGATGAAAGATGAGGGATCATCTTTCGATAACATTTTGTAGATGAATGAAAGGCGATAAAAGGTGTTTTTTCATGCAGTGATGGTCCCGTATCTCGAAAGAATCGGTTATGGAATCGAGATACTTGCGCACGTGTGCAACATAGCGAACCTTTCGAGATACGGAGCCCTGGCTACGCATGGAGTGACACCTCAGTTTCGGATATAAAATAGAGAGAAAATAAATATTTTGTGGAAAATTTACTCGCCAAAAATAATATATATTCCATATTAAATATCAACCATGTTTGTCTAAAGAACATATTAGTCCTATAATAACAGTGAAGTACCAATGTAGTGCATTTTCACAACCTTTGAGTATGAAAAAGGTACGCTGGATTATATAGCTGGGAATAAGGGAAATCTGGACAAACTCCCACATGTCTCTTCACGCTCTCCGCACTTTCACATATTATAAAACTGAGTGATGGGCCAATTTAGAGCAATGGATAATGTATACCTCCTGCCACGAGGGCCCTACACCCCATTTCCATAGATTAGATCGACCTACTTTAGATCGACCTAACTCCCTGGGGGTTCACGCTAAATAGCTGTCAGCCGGGCGGACACGAAAGTTAATTACCCCCTTATTGCTTGTAGTAGGCGGGACGGACATTTAAGTCGGATTATCTGAAAGTAATCTAGTGAGACTCCCCGCGGGGATAGATTGATCTAAAATCTATGGGAATGCGCCGTTTTGTTTACATTTATATTCATATATTCCATGCATTAATCTATTCATTCTTTTATTTATTTTTATAACTTTTTTGGAAGGTGAAATATATTAAACAAAATTTAACTTCCTAATAGAACATATAAGGATAATTAAACAACTGAAAATAATAGAAAAATAATACATAAATAAGAGAGAATATTATGTTAAACTATCAAAATAACAGTGAAAAGTATTCAATTTGATAACTCTCATGTTTGATAAAATTCAAACAGTTTGTTTCATAACCAGATGTTTTCGAATTTCTAATGTCATTGCCAATATTATTTCCTAGATTAAAGAGCTCCCTTTGATTCAAACATGTTCTGTGCTTGCCACCAGGCAAATGTAACCGTATTCTGAAACAAATATATCTGTTGAAATCACACAATGACTATAACACCTAGACAATGACTATAACACCTAGACAATGAGATGAAAAAATATTCAATATTCATGGGCATGCTGGTATAGGTGCTTGTTACTGTAACGGTTTTAACTTGAAAATAGACAAGACAACGCGGTAGTCTACATTAACATACTTTCTCTGTTTCGACACAGCTGACCGAAAGATGAACCTCAGCTACGTCTACAAGCCGCCTACCATGCCCCAGGATACTCGTATTATACCGGATTACCTGGATGAGAGGGTCCAACAGCATCCTGATGGCGTGTGAGAGAATCGGCGTTTGCCTCATACTCCAAACCTTTGGTCCCCCGCCCCCCCCCCCCCCCCCGAAAGATTCGGTTGAAATGGCCAAAGCCATGAGTTGTTCTGCCGTCATCGTTTGCGCTTTCGGTTCCTCCTCTGCGTACGGTGAAAGTATTGTACAGGAATGGAGGAAATCTGTACGAGATGACAGCAGCAATCCTCTCTTAATATGCGCCGGGTCCAAAGCTACCGAAGATAACATTTCTTACGAAGACCTGGTCCGACCCAGTGAATCGGCCAGTGCAGAAGAAATACACATCGTGTCTGAAGTTCAGAATGCGGTTCAAATGGAAGATCCCTTGCTTGCATTAATGACTTCTGGTAGCACAGGCAAGGCCAAAGCAGCCCTTTGCAACCACTTCCAATTCATTAACGCTCTCCGAGCGTCTTGTTTCCCTCTTCCATATATCGACGGGGCACGTTATTTTAGCGATCGACCGTTTTCATGGGGCGTTGGCGCAATGTTGGGTACATATTTAATTCCATTTTCTGGTGTAACAATTTTGTTCTTAGACCCAGAGATTTCGGTCAGTAAAAGTGACGTCGCCATGATAAGGAAAATTCTTCAAGATGAGAGATGCACACACGCCGTCTTCATGCCTTATATTATGTACGACTTGATTCACATCGACACCATCCCTGAATATGGACTCTCGCTTGTCGAGTATGCATTAAGCGGTGGACAGCCATTGGTAAAAGAAATGGCGTCGAAGTTCATGGAAAAATTCCCCAACTTGCTTCTGGTACAGACTTAAGGCTGCACGGAGTTTGGTCTCATAGCTTACCAGACCTATTCCATGGTTGAGGATATAGACCATGTCGGCTTCAACTGTCTGGAAATGGCACCGAATACTGAAGCAAAAGTTGTAGACAGCGACGGTCGGATAGTGAAGAAAAACACGGTCGGGGAACTCCTTGTACGCGGACTACAGGCATTTGACAGGTACCTTAATAACGAGGAAAGTACCATGGCTGCCGTTACTCCGCAGCATTGGTTGAAGACCGGTGACCTCGTCACCATGAACGATGACAGCAGCATCCGCTTTGTTGGAAGGATGTCAGACGCCATCAGGAGGGCCGCCGTGCTAATATATCCTGTTGAAGTCGAGGTGGTGATCTCTAAACACCCAGAGGTGGATCAGGTCGTTGTGGTAGGAGTTCCTGATGAGAGATTCACCCAGGAGTTATGCGCATGCGTCATCCTGACCTACAGTCCTGGATCCTCGAAGGAACGCCTGGGTACCATTAAGGCATGGACGTCGGATCAGTTTCCTCCAGGTCCGGACGGTCTTTTCCTTGCGCCCAAATATTTCCTCTCCTTCCAGGATTTCCCTAAAACATATAATGGGAAAACGAGTCGACGCGATATTTCAAAGATTGCTGCTGAAAAATTTAGATATTGAAAATATATGTACTTTCCTCCTGAATATCTTTTTGAAAAGCTTCTTTGACCTTGACAGAGTGCACGTTTTACTGCTTATCGTAAAACAGTGAAGTGTCTGTTGATTTTGTTTGATAAATGAAAAAATAAGACAATCTGTTTGTCTTCTTAGTCTTAATTAGTCATTCACTTACGCAGCTCTGTGGTAGGAAATGGCATCAATTAAATGTCTAATTACCGCAACTAAAACTTAACGATTCTACAAGAACCAGTTTGAAGAGCAGTGTGCACGTTGTATCGCTTATCGTAAAGCAGTGAAGTTTCGTGTAGCCGTTGACTTTGTTTGAACAAAAAAAAAATTAAGACAACCCATTTATCTTCTTATTCTTAATCTTTCATTCCCTTATGGAGTGGTAGGAAATGGTATCAATTAGATTTCTAATTTCTGCAATTAAAACTGAACGCATAAACCAGTTTACCCATTACGTACTTTCATTATGTAACTGTCACTTGCACTGTGTCCTGTGTAGGAGTTCCTGGTGTTCTTTTTTTAAATATGTATCTAAGTATTTATCATATTTTATTTCGCAGAATTTCGCGAACGGTGTATAGCATTTACATTGATGTCAACACTGAAACCGTGCCATACCCCTGTATAAGCTTTTTTCAAAGTATAAATGAATTATACTACAGTCAACAAAGATTTTCTGATTAGGATTTTGTTTCATTTGATCAATGAATGACTTGAGTTGATATGGTATGAGTTGTTTGATTTTTTAGACTAGTAGTACGTTGGACATCATTATTTGATGATATCAGAAAATTATATAGCATATGTGTTGTATAAAACGTAACTTAGTATCAATAAATGTACTAATCAAGACATATACAAAGTAGATATAATGTTGATATTGAGCATTATTAAGAATTAATAATGAATGTTGATAAAGATGCACTGCATAATCAATTTTGACGACTTATTACTAAAGTGATGAGGAATGCAAGACATTATAATCTCATGATAAGCATGATGGTTCATTGTTCTATTTGTAAATACATCAAGCCTTAATGTAAAGTTTTGTGTAAGTTATAACTTACTACATAATATGATAAATATAATAAAATAAGTTTTGGTAATTTACGTTATTATATTTGTATTTTCTTTGTTTAAATCATGAAACAATATTTAAGCATATGTTGTAAAACAGTTAAATTCAAGTACAGATTATTTTGTACATAATAAAGTAAATGGCTTACACTTTCACTAATTGCAGATAGTATTTAGAAAATCAAATGAGTAGAAGAATGTAGAGTCATTGAGTGTAAGTTAAATTTCTTAAAGAGCCAACAAGTGTAGAAATTGTATTCGTGATAGGAATAGATGGAACATGTCAAAGCTACACACAGTTTTATTTGATTGGTTAAACTCTCAATAGATTTGCATGTTTCAGCCACCACATGTTAAACACATGCACATTTAGGATGGATATAGCCCAAGCATGAGTGATTCAAATAATATATCATATGTTTAATGTAATTTTGGGAGTAAAATTGCTGTAGGGTATACTGCATTTCTACTGCAAACATGCTCCACACCACTACTGCACTAATGCTTCATTGCTACCCCGATACTACTGCATTTTCTTGCGGGAACCTTTGGCTACCCCCCGTAAGATGCGATTCAAATGGGCAAACTATGAGTTGTTCTGTCGTCATCGTTTACGCTTTCAGCTCCTCTGCTCTTTACGGTGAAAATATCGTACAGGAATGGCGGAAATATCTACGAGATGACAACGGCAATCCTGGATCCACTTTTAATATGCGCCGGGTTCAAAGCAACCGATGGTATACCCTCTCTTACTCTGTGAAAACAATATTTAGCATTTAAACACATACAACACACGTTTAGCACCTGAACGCATTTAGAAATATGTGTAAAAGCACGTATAGCTTTTCAGGTTTGTCACAGAAGAAAATGCTGTGCACGTTTGGCAAAGTTACACGTTTAGCTTTGTGTCTAGCTCCATCGGTATATGACTCTATAAAAAACCTCCTAAATGCGTGGACCTGCTGAACAACACGTTAAAGCGATAATAACTCTTCGTTTTGGCCAAAAAATGAATTTTCCTGGAGTAAACAACACATTTCCCATAAATACCAATGGTTAATGAATCCATTTTTTTAACATTCAAAGTTAGTCCCTTTTTTTTTTTAAAGTGTGGAGATTTTAAACAGTGTTTAGCCATCAATGGAGGTCACGTGGTCTAAAGGCAAGCTCAGATATCAGAATAAAAGCTATTACTGTCGTTTTTGTGGTGAAACAATATATTATATTTCTATGAGTTATTCACAATGTTTTTTATTGTGAAATATAGATCTCATACGAAGATTTTTTATTCCTTTAAGCTTTTTAAGCTTCTCACAGAAGAACATGTTAACATGCTTAGAAGTGTCGCACTTTTAGCTATATGATTAGTTTCACCGGTCCCATAACAAGTTTATTACAAGGCTCAACAATTTGGCTTAACACTTCCCTTGTAAACGTGTGGAGCTATTTAAGGCGCGGAGCAGCCTGCTCGAACGTATGATAAAGAGAATTGCCAAAGGACATTGTTTAATGTTACCCGAAAATGACTTTTGAATGGATTTTTCTCCTAGCGTACTATCTTGTATATACATGGGGCAGACAAGTAGGTCACATAAGTAGGTTATATTTCTGACCAAAAATTTAAAGAAAGGCGCAGTCCAGTGTTCTTTATTGAATGAGCGTGTGATTTATTCACTTTATCCCTTGGCATGTCGACTTTAATTTAGTCGTATAAGAATCTAGTTGAAGTGGTTTATATGTGTTACTGGCAATCGACGCTCCTCCGATGCTCGGTTTATATACCTTAAGTAATATTCCAAATAACAAATAACGTTTTCACGACTTTATCAGATGGTTACATGTCGTTTATGGTTTGGAAGAACATTATGGTGATGTTATGGGCGTTTTTAACTCAATGCAAAATGGTGTCCTAGCTAGCAAAAAAATCCATTATAGTAACGTTATTATTTGTAGAAAGATTCGAAGTTTCGAGCACCTGGATACCATGAAGGAATGGAGGTCGGATCAGTTTCCGCCAGGTCTAGATGGTCTTTCTCTTGCGCCCAAATATTTCCTACCTTTCCAGGATTTTCCTAAAACATATAATGGCAAAACGAGTCGACGTGATCTTTCGAAGATTTCAGCTGAAATTTTAAGATGTTGAAAATATGAACTTTTCTCCTGATCATCATTTTGAAAAACATATTTGACCTTGACAGAGTGCACGTTTTGCCGCTTACCGTAAAGCAGCGGAGTGTCATGTTGCCGTTGATTTTGTTCAAAAAAAGAAAAAAAAAAAAAAAAAAAACAAGACAACCCGTCTGTCTTCTTGGTCTAAATTAGTGATTCCCTTATACAGCTATGTGGAATGGCACCAATTAAATTTCTAATTACTGCAACTAAAACTTAACGACTCTACAAGAACCAGTTTGAAGAGCAGAGCGCATATTTTCCTGCTCATCGTAAAGCAGTGAAGTGTCATGTAGCCGTTTATTTTGTTTGAAAAAAAAAAAAGAATTAGTCATTCCCTTATGGAGCTCTGTGGTAGGAAATGGCATCTATTAAATTTCTAATTAATGCAACTAAAACTTAACGATTCTACATAAACCAGTTTAACATTACGTACCTGTACAATGTCACGTGTACTGCGTTCTGTGTAAGAGTTCCTGATGAGAGATTATTTCAGGAGTTATGCGCATGCGTCATCCTCACCCACAGTCCTGGATCCTCCTAGGAACGCCTGGGTACCATTAAGGAATGGACGTTGGATCAGTTTCCTCTAGGTCCGGACGGCCAAATATTTCCTACCATTCCAGGATTTTCCTAAATATACAGCAGTAAAACAAGACGGAGTGAACTAGCAGAAATTGCCTCGGAAAATTTGTATCTGACGTGCCATTCTCAAAAGGACTAACATATAGTATATGTAAAACTCAGCTTTGACATTTAACTAATTGACTATTTGTAATCAATCATGGTTATGGGATGATTCAAATATTAACAAAATATAATGGTATAAAGGTATATTCAGTTCAAAACGTCTGTATATTTTCTTAAGTTAAGTGACATTTCAAAGAATACAGAATCTACTGGTTGTCCGGAACCGCGCAAATTTAGATATAAACGTAATTTGGAATTAGGCTCGAAATACGGACACCGTTGGAAACTTTTAGATAGGATAACGCTTTCGTATAACCTCCCAGATTCGTGGTCGAAATCTTTACGTCCAAACGCTACAGAGGAAGAGTTTTGGATTACCGCCACTATCAAACAAGATGAAGTCGTCAAGGTTGAGGGCTGTGTGGTATGTCAGGAGGGGGATTTGATTTGATTTATACAATATTAATCCATGCTATATATCCGTCAAAATGTGATCTAAAAGTATAAATAGCCCTTGGATAAGCTCAACAAGAAGTGGTTTATGTATCTGACAGGTACTTATAATCCCATACTTTGTCACTATTACAAAATCAGATTCCAAAAGCAGTAAACATATAAATACTAAATGCAATCCATTATCTTTAAGACTTCATATGATGGAAAATACAAAGTAAAACAAAATAGTTAAAACCTTTTCTTTTTCCTCGATGCCTAGTCCTGAGAGCTCGTCATCCATGGACACTTTGGGTGTTTTGTTTCACATACTTTTACACAAAGGAAAACAGAAATACCTGAGAATATTTCTTTAACCTGAGCCTAGAATAGAAATAATACAACTTCGTCACCATACGAGAAGCCTGCATTTGTTCTTTATGGTTTACTAGCTGATATAGTGAGGTCACTTAAAAATACGCAGCCGACACTGCTCTCTGTAACTCAAGCAGAACAGAAAATAAACAAGAGGACCATACGGCCTCCGGGCATTGTACCACCAGCTGGAATAAGTGCATTGTCATGGAGAAAAAATACAAAAACAAAAGCATTTTCTTATGTAT